AGAACAGAATCTATACAGTGTGGAAACAGGCCATTTGGCCCAACAAGTCCACACTTTACCCTCTGAAAAGCACCTCACCCAGGCCCATCCCTCCACCCTTTCCCTGTATTTCCCCATGGCTAGCACACCTAATCTACACATCCCTGGAAACTATGAACAATTTAGCACAGCCAATCCACCCAACTTGCAGATCTTTGGACTCTGGGAGGAAACCAGAGCACCTGGGAGAAATCCATACAGACACAAGGGAGGAAAGCAAACTCCACGCAGTGACAGTTGCCCAAGGATGGAATTGAACCCAGATCCCCAGTGCTGTGAGGCAGCAGTGCTAACCACAGAGCCAGCAGCTGTTAGTGATTTGTGAATCTCAAGAAAAGAATTTATAATTCTCCTCCATTGCATTCCACATTTTGTTTGATATGTTTGCATCTCCTTCCCCGTCACTTTATCTCAACCTCGGCAAGTTAACACCTCACTACCCTACACAAAGACACTGTTTCTCAGTCATTAGTTCTCCCGTCTCTGATATTGCTGTCCTACTCTGGCAGAAGGGTCCATTCTTTGACCACCTTTTCCCAACAAGTAGCAAGACAATACAGAAACAAAGCCATGAAGGTTTCATCATTTGTTAGTTAAATGGGTTCCATAAAATTTGGTAAATATAGTTTTTTTAAAAAACAAAATAATATTAATTTGTTATTAAAACCTATTATATCGGCAATTATTTCTCAGGTGGAAATCTATGTTTTCGGTCATTATGCAATTGAGTTCTAGAATTGAAAAAGACATCAGCAATGTTGCCCGGTCAGAAGGAGTGAAAAAGGTACGACAGACCTCTCAGATCTGTTACAATGTCACCAGTTTTTATACAATTCATTCTGCTACATGGATTAGAAGCATCTTATGAAAAGGTGTCCCACAAGAGTATGAAAAATTACATCAGCTTCCACTTTGGGAACTGTCAACACCTTTTCACAATCCAAATTCATTCACAAGCAGCCTATTGAATTTTTCTTTCTATAATAAGCCGATGTAGTTTGGCTTGTTAACTGAGATTTTGGTCATCTATCCTAATGTCTCCTAACATGGCTTGTTATTAAATTTTGTTCCATTGGTATATTTTGTTCCATAATGCCCCTCTGAAGCGACCTGCTGTGTTTTATTATATTAAAGATGTCATGTAACACAAGTTACTGTTCAGGGAATCAAATGTGACTGACTGTCTTGCAAACCTCACGGTCTCTGAAAACCTCTATGCGTGAAAACCGAAGCTAGTATTTTTAATATATAGATTGCTCATCTTAAAATATTTACATCTCTCCTCCAAGGAAACAGTAAATCATTACACCAGAGGGAAATTTTCTTCCTGCTATTCCCCGCTTTTTATTTTAATTTTTCTCTGCCATTCCCGTTCTTTAGAGCCGGCAAACTGATGCTTTTGTCTGTCTGCATTGAAAGTAATGTTAAATATAATCTGGCACAACATTATTCAAAACACATTTCACCATTGCTTACAAAATCAATTTGCTTGAGAGACAAAATGTTCCCTACTTACACGTCAGGGAGTTAGATTAGTTAACACTTTAAGTATTTTGAAATAACTGTTTGTTTAGAGATATAGAAAACTAAGAAAAGCTACGTACTCACATTCAGATCACCCCAATTAAATTAGGCTTAAAACATATCCAAGGACAAGATGCCCCTTGACACATGCTCAGCTTATTCCTGTGCCCGTCCTTGTGGTGTCCAAATTGAGATCTATGCTCAATCAAGAACGGGACTGTTTTTATCCTGCATGTCTCAAACAGTCTAAGAAGTCATTAATATTCAATAAAATCAGTAACGGCCTTTAAATTAACCATTTCATATAAAAATAACTGCTTAGGAGCTGAGAAATTGCTTCCACCAAAGGGTTTGCTATCACACATTTGCAAGTTAATTTTGAGAAATATGTCGAGTGACTTTTCATGCCTGCAACATATACCTAAGGACCATTTTAATAACCTTTTTACTTTATCCCTGCAATTGCTAATTTGCTAATTGTTCACTTAAATGGGCCACCCTGTCTCAGAAGTCCTGTTGTAATATAGGCCATGTGAAATCATGATCTCCTGACCTATTATTGCCAACAGAAGCCAACTAAATACAACTTTGTACTGATACTGCAGCTGTCTGCAAAGTGTAGTAGAGCATGGCAGCATTAAAGGGAACATTCGATACCTATAATAAGAGTGTGGAGGCTCAGACTGAGTTTCTGTTCGATTATAAAACTGACAGTGCCAACTTTCTCCTCTAAGATAGTATTGGGAAAACTCTGGGAAAGCACACAGTCCAGAAAGATGTCATCAACAATAAAGAGAATTTGCAAATCACCCTTCCGCTGATAAAAATATCACATTTAAACAGCTCTTATTTAAACATATGCAGCGCAGTGTTCTTAAAACTTGACCCAAGGTTTCTGCAGTAAAGCGATGATGACTAATGTGGTCATTGAACCTAACTACAACTGACAAACAAACTGGACTGTTTAAAATTATTTAAAATTCCCACGAACAGCTGGGTTTCCCAGTATAAAACAGGAATAATGTTGGTCACATCACCATCATTTGCGAGCTTCCCTGAAGCATAAAACAAAGACATTTATACGACTCAACTTGAGAAAAACTGAACGATCTTTCAGAAGTGACCCTCTGCACTGGTTGAGAATGAAATAAAGGTGCAAGGGATGTTCATGGGCAATCCGATTATAACATTGCAAGCACCGGATTTACAGTGTAGCTTTTACGAAGCGGGCAGTGCAATTCCAACCATCACTGGGATTAAAATATTTATGACTTCCAGCAAATTGTCACAGTACCAGAAGGAGATTTATTCTGTAGCTGGTCATTAATTCGAGTCGGGGACCGGTGGAAGTGACACATGGAAGCCCAGAGAAATGTTTAATTCAAGCCCCCTATAAACTTGTCCCCAAACATGGGCCCCTGAAAAATCAGTGCTGAGGATTTGAGAGCAAACCTGCCCATTTTATAACATATTTCCTCCACTTGATTTCTCAAGTCAGCTTCCAAACCGAAGTGACAAACCAGAATGATAGCAGATAGGCAGACTCATCTTCAGTACATCTTCTCCCAGTTACGTTGATAAATCCTTCATTTTTGTTAAGACCCAAACTAAAACACACTTACTGATCAGGATCTTTGCCGCTGGAATAGTTTATACCAGATGTGCAAATATTTAGCCTTTCTTACTCAATGACTCAAATTACAAATGCAATATTCTCCAAAACAAAACAGTCCCTCTGTGTTTAAAGCTGGAGACAGTGAAATATTATTATTTTCCTGCGCTGGGAGCGTTAGTCTAGATATAGCATTAGGGCGAATGGGATCAAAGGATTGGAGGAGAAAGCATTAGGCTATTGAGTTGGACGATCGTGCCACGAGCCATGATCGCGACGAATGATGGAGCTGGCTCGAAGGGCCGAATGGCCTCCTCCGGCTCCTATCTTCTATGTTTCTATGAAGAATAAGCAGTTCAGTTGAATCATATTTGTATCATCAACCAGTCAGCGGCTTATTGAAAGGGAATGGGAAACACTGGAATACATAACGTTATACAAATGAGGGAGGAAGAAATCTTTTCTGAGTTTTGTGTTTTTTTTAAGAAAGGAAGCTAAATATGAAGGGTAACGCGGACTGGGATGGATTATCGCGGGAGAATGAAGTATCTTTGGACCTGGGATCACACTAGCACATTCCCGCTAATGACAAGCTGCTCGAAAAGGCTGTGCTTCAGTCGTATAGCTGGACAATTGCGTCCAGAACGGAGCATTTGTGAACTCAAGAGTGCGTTATAAAGTGCAGCTTCAACAACTCCTTCGAACGCTGACAAAATGCAAAGATGGGAAAGTAACAAAAAAAGGTACCCTCAGAAGTGTATCTAGATTTTGAGAGGGGAGTGGAGGCGAAGATGTGAAATCTGGCGCCGGCACATCGAAATCTCCGCAGTATTATGTAATAGTAAGGAATTAAGCTCTGTTTCTTTTATGCACGCTGCCTATCCAAATTAAGTGGGGGCGACGAATCAAAGCTTAATAGCCATAAGCGCAAACTTGGCTTTTGTTGTGGAAAATGTTACAGGGAATACATGTCCCAAAATCCAGCCCCTCACAAAAACACACACAAACACACACGTGCAAAAACACTGAAACTGACAAAGTATATGCATTTTCCATTGCACCCCCAGTAAAGTGTTGTCCGCTGTAACTCTGCTAGTAACTACTTCATGCAGACGAGGGTGCTGTTGTACAATCGAGTCCTCTTCATACATGTAACAGATTTAAACCCCAACACAGCTCTGACTAAAAACAAAATCTGGATTGCTACTAGTGGAAGTTCTTTTTTTTTCAAGATTCATCTGTTAGAATATTTTGAAAATAAAAGGATTATGTTTTTTAAAAAAAATTGCTGTGCCGTCTGGATCAGTCCACAATCACCCTGCAACAACAATTCAATCTTTTGACCCAGGTCACAATTTTCTTCCAGCGGAATTATCTTTTCACTTAACACATGTTTCCAAACAGAATGACAGCACCCGGCATTGTTGTACGTCCCAACTTTGTTTTCGATGTATAAGAAACTCCAACTGTTTGATTATCCAGGGTGCAGGCAATTCCACACGCACAGGCACACACACAGAGACACATACACACAGACACACACACAGATACACATACACACACAGACACACACACACAGACACACAGAGGCACACATACACACACACACTTGCAAACTGAATACAGCCCAAATTTGGAACATTTCGTCAACAGCCTAGCATTGGTGACCAGACACTTTAAAACAAAATTAACCAAAATGTAGTCAAAAATGAGTCAACATTAAAAGGTATTTTAGATCGCCGCTTTAACCTGTGATTTTACAGACAACGCTTCGAGCCAGCTCCCCCCCTGCAAATCTGCCAATACAACCAGATACGATACTTACTTCGTTCTGCTTTTTCTTGGTGGATGTGTGGTCTAATTCCTGCGGCACCTGTCCGGTTAAACGTGTCCCAAGACTGTGTTATTTACAAGAGGTGATCAAAGGGACTGGAACCCCACTCGGTGAGTTCTCTGCTCTGCTTGTATGAGAAGTACGATGCTCCAGATGGACCACTGCCCCGCGAACCATGGGCATCAGTCTCTTCAGGGAGCCACATGTGCTGCTCTCCGATCAGTTGCTGGATGGTATTTGAGTCAGTCAGAGAGTGAGATTCAGGCAGAGCGAGCTGGGAGCCAGGCAAACACCACTACTCAGAGAGACCAGGAAAGAAGCAGAGCAGTGCAGCGCTGGGTACACACTGACTGCAAGCGATTAGGCAGAAACGGAGCAGGGGGAGGGTACATTACACACCCAGCACTGGGGGGAGGGTACATTAC